TGGCATTACAGCTCACAGCAACCTCCAACTCCTGGGCTCAAGCGAGTCTCCTGCCTCCGCCTCCCAAGTAGCTGGGACCACAACGCCCGGCTTATTTTTGGTTGCAGCCGTCATTGTTGTTTTGGTGGGTCCAGGCTGGGGATTCGAACCCTCTACCTTAGGTGTACGTGGCTGGCACCTTAGCCGGTTGAGCTATAGGCGCCGAGCCCCATCTCTATTTTTAATACTTTTTTTAAAAAAAATTGTTTTCTTTGCTGAGGCTGGAGGGCAGAGATGCAATCATGGCTCACTACAGCCTTGATCTTCTGGCCTCAAGCAATCCTCTCATTTTAGCCTCCCAAAGTGCTGAGATTATAGGTGTGAACCACTGCATGTGGTCTAAAAAAAATTAATACACATTCTTTTTTTGTTGTTGAGACAGAGCCTCAAGCTGTCACCCTGGGTAGAGTGCCATGGCATCACAGCTCATAGCAACCTCCAACTCCTAGGCTTAAGTGAGTCTCTTGCCTCAGCTTCCCAAGTAGCTGGGACTACAGGTGCCTGCCACAGCGCCCGGCTATTTTTTGGTTGTAGTTGGCAGGCCTGGGCTGGATTTGAACCCGCCAGCTCTGGTGTATGTGGCTGGTGCCTCAGCTGCTTGAGCTACAGGTGCCGAGCCAATACATGTTCATTTTTAAAACCTAAGTGCTATACAAGTTTACAGAAGGTGAAAGCCTTCTGCTCTCCCTGAGGCTCAGGCCTTTCACAGAAGTAACCTGTTAAAAGCTTCATGTGTCTCCTTCCACAGCTATTATTATCCTCTTACAAATTAGTTTTTTCTTTAACCCTAACCAGGATGATGCCATAAATACTGTTTTGTGATTTGCTCTCTTTACTTAATACCACAACTTACTATATGAGTATACAGAGAACTACCTCATGTGTTTAAAGGCAGTATAGAAATGCACCCTCTGGATTATCATAGTTTCTTAACCACTATTATAAAAACCTGCACTAGACCAACTAGCACTTTATGCATGGTAGAAGGGAGTTGTCCAGGAGTACATAAAAGGAGCCTCTGCTGGGAATGAATCCCTTGGGGAACCGTTCTCTGACTCTAAACTGCTTTCCCACAGAGTAAGGGGCCGAGGACTGTGCTCGATGGTATCAACCTTGCCAGAGCAGAAGGGAATTCCACTGGCTTCTTTAATGCTCCAGAGGTTTTTCCACACAAGCAGTATGGAAGGTGGGATAGGACAAAGGATGTAAATAGTAGACGCAATTCAGACATGTTAAATTGGGGAAAACATACCTAAGGGAGACCGATCAGGTGCTAAAAATAACTGGCAACAATTTGAGAATGTCAAGTAACTGAAATAAAGCCTTGAAGGAGAGAGAACTGGGGAGCTTGTAAAGGTAAAATTTAATGCCAACACTTTACAAAGGCATTATTTAGAATAATTAAAAAGAAAAATAATTCTGGGGGCTGCTTATGAGGAAAGCAGTAAGTTAAAATGAGGTTTTTGAATCTAAAATTTTTTGTTTTTAGGTTCTTAATTTATTTAAAACCATAGATTTAGTTTAGCTTTAACCTAGACATAAAGTAAAAGGCACTTTACAAGTGGAGGAGGCAAGAAATTGGGCAACAGATAATATGTCAAAGCCAGACACACATCAGGATGTATTTGTTATTAGCTTTGTCCTTTACTGCTGAGGCCAACCTTTTGTTCCTCTGGATAGTCAGCATACCAAG